CACAAGCTTCCAAGCAGAATAAATATGGAGCGCACAGGGCTTATAATATACATATTTACCGACAGCCAGAAGGCAACTAGCTGATATAATTATATTTAAGACCGTATTGGATTGTAAGAAAGCTTTAACTGAATATTCTCACAGAGGTAAGGTTTACATCACATGGGTACCAGGCCACTCGGGAGTAGTCGGCAACGAAAGGGCGAATGTAATAGCTTTAATGGGTAGTTAATGGTAGTTCGAGGTAGTCAACCTGACGAACGCAAAACTTTTCGACGCAACAAAAGCTGAATTAAAAATATAGTTGAAAGAATCCTATAAGGCCTCTTGGAATAATGAAACGGTGGGCAGAACCACAAAGATCCTATGGGGTGTCCCCGATGAGAGCAAGATGAGAAATCTCCTCAAAATGAACAAATCTGAGGCTAGTCTAATGATACGTATTCTAAGTGGACACACAGGATTACGAGCACATCTATACAAAATTAAAAGTGCGGATTCAGACGAATGTAGAAAAATTGAAGCTCTGGAGCACTTTCTTTGCCAATGTCAGGCAATTGTCGGAGTTAGATCCAATCATCTTGGAAGTGATGTTATTCCGGATACAACATTCCTGATTAACACTGATTGGAAAATTATTGGGAATTTCGTCCAGGAAACTGAGTTTCTGAACATTCACTGAAATAATACATTCAGTGAACAAAATTTGTTGTTTTTTTTTTCATGAAAAGGAGCGCACAACAGGCCCGATAGTGACCTAGGTGTACTTCTTCGGATTTGATGCAGTATACATCCTCCTATCAACCTAATCTAATTCGGAGCGTGGTTCACACAAAATCTGGAATTGATTACTTGTTGTGGGTTAAATATTTTTAAACTCTCTTCATTAGAGATATCTTCAAAACACTGATCTTACTATTGCCACTTTCTGCAAAAAAGTGATATTTGCTATCTCTTCTGCATTACAAAGATTACATACCTGTCGAACTATTTAAAATTTTTTATATAAATCAAACAAATAGTTAGACATTTGTCAAATAAACTGTCAAAAATGAGACATTGACTTTCTTCAAAACTGCTGGGGTGTTGTTTTCTCCCTTTTGCTATGTTGTGTTTTCCCATAACAAAAAGTTAGATCCATGTATTATGTGTGTGTATATAAGTGAATATAAATGTATATATGTGTGTATGTGCCTGACAGCCAGCTTAACAAAATATTTATAAATGTGACAAGCTAATATTTTATATAGTTATAAACGTGTCATAATGTAGATTTGTTTTGTTGTTAATGCTTTCGAACAACAACAACAACAACCAAAATAACAACATATCGGGTCACATGGAGTATTTCTGTTGTATGTTTTTTTCCCCAAAATCAACCCATACAAATTGTTTGTATATATGAAAGGTTGTGCGTTTGTATAATACACTAACTCACAATATGTTACTAAAAATTCAAAGTATTTTTTTCTATTTTTTGAAATTGAAAATCTTTTGATGCCCTACAACAACTGTTGTATGAATAGGTGACTTAAGTTATTGACATCTGAACTCTCACATAAACTTTTTACTGGGAAAATGGATTTGAAAATTATGTTTTTTTTTTTTTTGAAAATAAAATTTTATTAGCTACTTTATAAACTCTTTATATACATATAGTAACCTTATAGTGGAGCAAGCTTACAGAATTTTCTCTGATCAAGTTGTATCAATATTTGAATACTACCTCTCTGTTATCAGTGTTTAACGTGTTTTCCGGTCGGTTTCTTTCCCCAAGGTGAACTTAAAACACTTCACCATTCAAGAACCCTGTGGGTTTCTATTTTCAAGAGGTCATGCTGCCAATGAGATGGAGTCAATTTTGCTGCGGCCCCTATCAAAGAGCATTCCTTAGAACTTTTTTCGTAGACCAGCCACCAACTGTCAAAAACAAGTCTTCAAGTGACAAAACATTCAAAAATTATATTTTAAAGCGTTACCAGATCAAGTACTACGATGTATATATGAATGGCGAGAAATCCAATAAATTTGCTCAACAGTGAAGGGCTCCAAAGTCAGATAGAGACACACCCTACTCTCTTCAGATCAGCTTAAAGAAGTGGCGTGTCATAATGTCCATGGAGATGGAAAATTTGTCAAGAATTTAGGAAAGGGACACTCTTATCCCGAAAATAATTGCTCCTAAATATGGTAAATATGGTGAGTCCTTTAAAAAGGTGTCTTGGATAGCCGGCTTCGGACGGGCGTAAAGGTTTTAAACTCTGGGGCATTCAGAATACCGGCTTCGCTAAATGAAGACTTTTTTCGTAAATGGACTCTTTGAAATCCATGGACTTTATGTCACTTTGCTCATGGACATTATGACACTTTTGATAACGTCCGTGAACATTGTGACACGCCACCGAAAATTTGTTTAGCATTTAGGAAAGGGACACTCTTATCCCGAAAAGAATTAATTGCTCCTAAATATGGTATATATTGAGTTTTGATTCTTTTAAGAAGGTGTCTTGGATAGCCGGCCTTCGGACGGGCGCAAGGGTTATAAACTTTGGGGTATTCAGAATAACGGCTTTTGTGACACTTTTGAAACTGGACTCAATTTTTTATCGAAGCAGGAAACAGACTACATTCTATCTATACTGAAGTTTATTAGGTCATTCAAGACCACAATACCGACAAGGGATGATTGGGCCGCGAACACTGACCTAAGGGACGATATGATCTCAATCTATACTGAAGGCTCAAAGACACCCTGTTTGTCGGGATCGGGAATCTTTTCCGAAAAACTAATAATTACTGGGCACTGTATGTTTGGACTTATGTCGGAACGTATGGGCTACCCAAATTATCGTTACTGTAGAAACTGCTTGGAAGAAGAAGAAGTGGAATCGGTACAACACCTTTTATATGACTACCCAGCCTTACAAAAGCACAGACTAATTTATCTTGGTAGAGCTCTTTTCCATGATCTAGACTGTCTTAGAGATGCGTCACTAATAATCAAGATCTGTTTTATTAAAAGAACCGGCTGGTTTACACGGAGACCGAACGAACCAAGTAGTTAACAAAATTAGGGAGGGAAACCATTCTCTCAATATCAGGGAATGGTAATTCTAATGGTATCACAATGGGCCATGAGGCCTCCGAGTGAACTCGCTTGCTTGCGAGCAACTCACGTAACCTAATCTATGACTCAATTTAGATATTGTGATACTTTTGAAATTGTCATAACGTCCGTGGACTCTACGACTCAATTTAATGAGTCATAACGTGGACATGGACATTATAACACGCCATCCCTAAAAAACAATGCTACACAATATGATCATTTTAATTTGACAAATTTAACGCAATTAAATGATTATTTTGGTCAGATCACATACAAAAAGAGAAATTTTAAACATTTTTCTATAGCATACTTTTGTGCTAGTTTTATTTAATAGAAGTGAACATTTAATTCGATTTATAACCTAGTTCTCTCATGTCGTTTTTTATTCACGTCTTCTATTAGCAATGATGAGTTGCAAAATAATAAAAGAATTTTTATATACAATTTCAATTTGATTCATTTTTTTTTTAACAATGTTATTTTACAATTGAAACACAAACATATTCGAGTGAAAACTAAAGAAAAGAAGAGAAAAATTATTTATTTATTAAATTCTTTTTATATGACACATAGACAAGATAATGAAATTTTATCTTTAGTTTGATTGGAAAGAAAAGAACACAGCAGAAAAAATAAATCAATTTGTTTACTTTCAATCATGCCAATATGTATGCAATAAAATGTTGATGTGACAAAGCCTTGATATATACTTTAGTTAAAAAAGAAGTAAACAATAAAATGGAATTGTTTAACAAATTACTTATAAAATACTTATATAGGTATGTAGAAATAAACAATATTATTTTATGTGTTGTTGTTTGCCAGCTTATACACATGAATAATTTATGTTTTAGTAAATATACCCCAAAAGTATGCTAAATTTAATTTAACATATTTATTAGTATTAATGCAAAAATTGTGTTTATTATATTTTTATATAATTTATTCCTGCTATTTAACATAAATATTAAACAATAACATTTATTAAACTCTGCTGGTGTTAATGTGAGCTTTAGGTAAATTTCATTTAAATAATATTTTTCTTGCTTGTATGCATTTTGGAAATTTCTCTAATGTTTTAGTGAGTTTTAATTAAAAATGTTTATGAAGCAGAAATGAAACAATTCATTCATAGTTTTAATTCAATTTTTTTTCGAATAAAATCAAAAATTTTAAATAAAACTGAATAAAGTTTAATTGTTAGAAACACAAGGTAATATTTAGTTTAAATAATGTTTGACATTTTAGGGATTAAATTTATGTCAACTTATTGTTAAGCTCCTAAAAGTATACTACAATATATTTATATTAAATTCTATCTGCAATGTTTTAAATGCCATAGAAAATATACTTAAACAGAGAAAGTTTAAGGGATTTTATTTTCATAGAAACTATACAATTTAAGGATTTTAAGGAAGCATTCATTATGGGATTTTTTAAGACTTCACAGTATTGTTGTTATAATATCTTCCTTCTTTTTTTGGTCCTAAGTAGTATTTAAATATCAACAGCTATTGTTAAAATATATACATACATATATGTCATGTTTAGAAATTTATTTTGCATATAAAATCCTTTTATTATTATACATAATATTAAAGCCTACTTTAAGGCATAACAAATATTTATAAAAATAAAGCCTATTTCAAGGTTGAACTGATAAATAAATTTTGCATAACAACAATAAATATAAATACCTATAATAACTTTCTCTTTTGAATTCCCCATTGCTTATATAACAAAGAAAGAATCTTATAAAAAGCAAACTCCTGCTGTTGCTTTCAATACTCAACCCATATAAATAAATATAAGGAAATGAGCCCTAAAAACATTTACATGTACTTATTTATACATATATGTATTTTTATTTAAGTATAAACAAGATACTTACCTCTTTTATATCTTTATTATTATCTTCATCTTCTTCTAAACTTTCACTGGTACTTAAGTGGCTTGTATTCGTATCCACATCAGTCGTCTTGTCATGCTTTGCTGTTGAGGCTTCTTCTGTCTGTTTGTTAAACATTTGTTTATTTTGTATTATAAAATGTTGAAATTCCTCTTCTTGCTGTTCGGTCTCCTCACGCAATTCCCGTACATAGACATCCGTTTGCTGTTGACGTTCTTTGAGTGCGGCTAATTCGAGCTTAAGTTGTTGAAAATCACTACGTATTGTTGTTAAATCTTCCCAACTTTGTGTGCGTGTTGTCACATCTCTCATCGCATTACTGGCAATTTGTTGCAATTCCACAAGTTGTTTACGTAATTCACCAATGGATTGTTGCAACCATTCAATGGTTAAACGTTCCTTATTGCTTGAACCATCCGTAAATTGGTGGCCATTGCGCAAAATTTGCACTTCTTGTCTATAATGAGAAAAAAAATACGATTTTTAGAAAAGAAAATTGCAATGGTGTTTGAGAAATGAAAATTGTTATTGACTTGTATTGTTTAGTTTTATTTTTTTGTTATACATGCTACAAGTTGAAATGGTTAGATTGAGAAGTTTCTTTACGCCTTGGGGATATGCTTTGCTTTTGGAACGTACTAAAAGTTATGCAAACTTAAGAGAATTGTTATTTCAATTTTAATTAAAAAATTAAGCATTATATTCTACAAAACAACTGTGAATACCCTAAGTAATTACTTAGCCAATGTGTAAATTACAAATTATTATAGTTAGCCCAAAAGTATGCTAACAAATTGTGATTGATATTAGCAACAATTTCGCCGCAACGCCTTATAAAAGTCTCATTTGTTTAATAAAGTTTGTTACAATAAAAAAAATGTGATATATTTATGTTTAACTAATTTTTAATTTGTCTATGTCTGATGCTGCTGCTACTGTCTTCTTTTCAGCTTATATTCTCATCTGGCCAACTAATTAAAAAAACATCAATCAATTTTAAACCACTTTAGTTAAATAAAGAAAAACAAGTAGAGAAAAAAACAACAGCAAACTGTCGCAATTGACTCGCTAACAGCTACACAACAAGAAAATAATAACGTTAACTAAACAATTTTTCTTCAAACGCCCCAATGTAGGCTATAATTTATTAATGTATTTTGTGGAACAACACTTTAGCTTAGAGAGAAAAAAACTCTTTCAAACACTCACGCACTAAAGAAATGAGAAAATATTCTAAACAGCATAATAAATTATACAACCTTGAACTGTTTTCTTTAGTTATAATCTAATCAAAGGAGACTAGAAAGCAATAATAAAATCTAATAAATAAAAAAAAAAACTTTTATAATAAATTTCACATCTTTTTGTTTTTAACTAATTTAGTCTTTAACAACTTATGAATTTTAACTGCTTATATTCAGAGCCCTAATAATTTTCAATTAATTAGTTTTAACGCTTTTATTTAACCTTGAACTTTTGCCTACATTTAGGCTTAACTAGAAAACTTCTTTGAATGCTGGTTAAAAAGGGATATTTATACTTGGAAATATTTAAATGTTAAGTAGTTACTTAGTTCATATTTCATAAATGAATGCATAAGGATTTTCTACTACAACTGTTGTCTATGTTAATTAAATTTTCTAAGAATAAATTTGTATTAATTAATACAAATATGAAATATAATTTTATTAAGAAATACTTAGCAATTATTGTGTATATTTTAATAGAAAAATAGTATTTAAAAAGCATAATATACTTTTAGGTTATTGCATGTTTTTTTTTTAATATAGTATAGTTTAAGGTGTTGCATTAGACGAATATATTACTTCTCATATTTAATGTTAATTATGGTAGATTTTAGTGGTTAATGTGTGTCTAATTTAATTTAAAGCTAAAATAAAGTCAAATATTTAAATGCTTCGTAAATCAAGATTTTATTTCTGTACAGAGTACATACATGTGAAAATATAATAAATATTGGCATAAGATTTATGTATGGTTTAAGGGTTTAATGAGGGAAAGAAAATGTTTAGATGCATTCAAAAAGGCCTTTGTTGCAATAACGGGTAATTTCTCAGTACACAACAACTTACTTTTCAATGACTACTACATACTGCCTGTACTTTAATGTTCTTTTATAATGACTTACATATAATCAGATATGTAAGTTCCTTATTTTGAGTTTTGCCGGACAGCGAACTAGCAACCAAGAGGCACAGTTTCGTATTCTCTGTGCGTAAAAGAAAACTACTTTTTAACTACCTATTTATAAGTATGTACTTATTTAAGTAGTTATTTGTAAGCTAGCGGGATAAGTACTTGTCAGTCATTATCATGTTAAAATGTTAATGAAGAAGTAGGGAAAAAGCGTATTTTAGCTTTTTAACTCACTACTTTTCAATGTAAGTTTTTGCTGTGTTCTTTGTGATTGTTGTAGCCGAAAGTTTGCTTAAAAAAGCTTTTAGCTATTTCGCCCAAAAGCCCGCATTTTAGCTGCTCTTTTAGACTTTTTATTGAGAATCAGATATCGTCAACAAAGTCCTGGAAAAGCGGACTGACGATATAATAAGCTTCGAATCCAGCCGCGTGAGCCAAATGTAAAAAAGGGTTCCATAAAATTTCAATTAATGCCATAATAAATCAAACAAAATAAAGTTTAGTTAATTTTTATAAAGATACTTGCCCAAAGCCCGCAGCTTAGCAGCTAATTTACTCTTTAAGAGAATCAGATATCGTCAATAAAGTCCTTTAAAAGCGGACTGACGAGATAATAATCTTTGAAGCCTGCTGTGTCAGCCAAATTAAAATATAGTATTCCATAAAATTTCAATTGAAGCCATAATATACCAAACAAAATCAAGTTTAGTTTAGACTGATCGAGATTTGGTTTCTTATATATGAATAATTTTATCGCTATATTAACGAATTACAAATATTATAATCATATTTTGATAGGGTTTTTATAATGGTAAAATTTGGCCCGATTTTACAATATTACTTCAAAGTGCATAAAAATCACTTGTACTCCAGTGCCCCAAAGACCTTTGCCTCATATAGGATTCCCTAGTTAGTTAGTTATAAAATAGGATGTATATAAATATGTACACGCAGAGAAAAACATGGTTCGGCATAGTTAGGACAACTATTCCATGTTTTTTGTAACAATATTTTGTTGTCATAAAAATCGTTGTTTTTGATGCCACAACATCACATTATGATTAATAAAACAATATTATGATGAATTATTAGGACTATAATTAATCATAATATGACATCTTATTATACTAATAATGATCATAATATGTTTTAACTTTAACCATAATTCTAACCATAATATATTGCTCTTAGATTATGGTTACAACAACCCTATTTTTTCTGCGTGTACATGTGCCTTACCAGTGCCTCAGTTAGAAATCGAACCCACGACCTTCGGCCTACCAGACTAGAACATTAACCTGTCGGATCGCCTAAATCCAAAATTATTTTAGGAAATAATTTCTATGAAGGACCTCTATACTAAGGCCTTTAGCTTTTTTACCTGAGGATATTATAAAGCTTCAACACCGCAAGGTGTTTTAGTAGTAGTTATACTAAATTCATGTATGAGTGTGTTTTAGCATCTGTGCCTATAATGAATGCATATAAATAAATGCATATCTTAAGGGGCTGTTTACCTATATTCGTTGACTTATAGAAACTATGTACATATAATTACGTATAAACACAGTGTTTCCCAACATGAGGGAAATTAAGATTAGTTTTTAATGAAACATAATTTTGTTTGAAACATAATTTTTCTGAGTGCAAGAGGAAATCGAAAAATTTCAAGCAGAAAATATGGGGGGGTTTGATATGACAAAAATTTGGGAAGTACTGATATAACATTATGTAATCTTATATATATTTCCTATTAAGCATTTTGATAAGTATGCATTAAGAATAATTAGTAAAAATATATATAAAATAACATGTTAATAGTTCTTAGATAATTATAATAAATAACCAGTACATGCATGTACTGTTCTAAGAAAAACTAATGACTTAATATACGTACATATATCATTACAAATTAAAGCAGAAATATAAGTATAGGCTTACAATTATAATATGATTTACAATTTTAATCTTTCCATTTATATATCATTAGAAAGACATATAAATGTTCACCACATACCGAAAACTTAGATATCAAAGACAATTATTTAAAGTAATATGAGTATATGGGGTAATTTTTAAAGGGTTGCAAGGGGAGTCAAAATATTAAATCGAAACAGAAACTCTTAAGTTATTAGGAAAACCTTTTTCTTTGTAATGAAACCGTTTGCTGGGAAGACTCTCATATAAAGTTGCTATGTAAACCTCTTACTCTGCAATGAAGCTGTTTGCTGGAAACGTTTACTCTTTAAAAGTACCCTGAACTCATTGTATATATAAGAGAAATAATAATTTAAACGAAATTTTATTAAGAATAAAATAAAACCATAATGGTTATGGTTTCTGTAAATATTTTATTACAAAAGTGTTTCCAAGGAAAACGTTAATTAATTTGAAAGATAAAAACAATTGAAATTGAAAAAAAGAGCAATGATGATTTTCAGGGAAACATTTTTGAAATACATATATGTACATTAGGGTAGTCCGTCCCGTTTATATGGAGAACATATAAGGTACTAATCTAAATCAAAGGTATAGCTATTGCTAAAGTACTGGTTGCTTGAAAACTCCTTAGAAATACTTGAGTATCACAAAAATGTTCCAAAGAACGAATTTTAGATGTAGATTCGTAATCACCAGTTCCATGGATGCTTTTTAAGAATCTGAAGTAGTTCCGTATGCAAGCGTTCAAGAACTAGTATTATTTAGAACATTTATTATTAACCCAGCAAAAACTCGGAATGACTTTCAGACTTAGCTATTAACATACTTTTCAATGACTGCTACATATCGTAGTCTAATAACATATTATTAATAATGTATTATATAAATACTTTATAATTCATTAGTCGTCGTCCCCGTGAAGCTATAAAAGCTGTATATGTATGTTTTCACGTACTATTTACATTGACTACCTTTTCAAATTACTTGTAGGAGGTTGTGGTAAGTACATGCCTCCAATGATATCACCATTTTAAAATAATGCAATTGTGTAAATTTTAGCATTTTAACTAACTCCTTACATGGCATAGTGCCACATTTAGTACATTCTGGTAAAGACAAAGGTGTAATTTTAGAAGTATGGACTTCATATTAAGTATATAAGTTCACAATAAGAGTTAGAACAACCTCACAAAAAAGGGGGCGGTTATATCATGTCCACGCCCACTTATTATGCTAATTTTGGTATTCTTGAGTATCAACCCTTATAAGATCAGAATGCACTAAATAAGTAGGCGTAGTTATATAACGAACACGCCTACTTTTTATATAAAAAAATGAATGCATGTAAGTGAAAATATG